GCGATCTTGCTGACTGCAACCTCTGCCTCCCAGGTTCAAGCGATTCTTCTGCCTCAGCCTCCCGAGCAGCTGGGATTACAGGTGCACATCACCACACCTGGCTAATTTTTGTATTTTTAGTAGAGATGGGGTTTCACCATGCTGGCCAGGGTGGTCTCGAACTCCTGACCTCAAATGATCCTCCTGCCTCAGTCTCCCAAATTGCCAGGATTACAGGCACCTGGCCCTATTTCCTTTAAAAAGAGGAGTTGTTCAGTATGCAAAACTTGTAAAGATGGAGACAAAAAAGAAAAGGAAGAAAAAAGTGTCACCCACAGCCTCACCAGAGACAAGTATTATTTCATTTCGTTATATTTCCTTCCACCCTTTTCTTCTCCACATGATTTGCTAGTGTTCTTTTTACAGAGCAATTATCTTGTATATACAGCTTCGTATCCTGCCTTTCCCACTTTATTATTTCATCATTTTACTCCAGCACTTCTCTGTTTTACAAACCTTTTATAAATAAAATGTTTGTCAGCTGCATATTCCATTCTATCAGTGTGTCTCAATTTATTTAACTGATCCTCTATCATTCGGTATTTAATTTGCTTCCATTTTTGCTATTGTAAATAAGTGTGGGTGAATCTTTGCCTGGGGCTTTATCTGCATTGGGAGGAGATTTCTCTCTCTTTTTCTTTCTCCTTCCCTCCTTCCTTCCTTCCTTCTTCCTTCTCTCTCTTTCTTTCTGAGATGGAATCTTGCTCTGTCCCCCAGGCTGGAGTACAATGGCACCATCTTGGCTCACTGCAACCTCTGCCTCTCAGGCTGAAGCGATTCTCCTGCCTCAGCTTCCCAAGTAGCTGGGACTACAGGCATGTGCCATCACGCTCCACTAATCTTCATATTTTTAGTAGAAACAGGGTTTCACCATGTTGCCCAGGCTGGTCTTGAGCTCCTGACCTCAAGTCATCCACCTGCTTCAGCCTCCCAAACTGCTGGGAATACAGGCATGAGCCACCGCACCCAGCCGGAAGATTTCTTAAAGAAGGATTTGCATGCATGGAAGTGCCAGATCATAGGGAGTGAACATTTTTGACGTTACTGACACCTCTTGCTAAACAGTTTTCTGGAGTGGCAGCACCAATTTCCCGCCCACCAGGGCCTTGGAATCAGTGTTCCTTGAAGTCCTCTTAACCTGTCCCTGCAGGAAAGGCAGGAGAAACAGTGCAATAATGCCTGTGTGATCAGAACCTCGAGGACCAGGGGGACTGGGTGGAGGTGGAGCTGGTCTGATGAAGCAAAAGCAGCTGATCAGAATGTGCCAGCCAGTGCCCAAGGCCTCTGGGCTGGGGTTGCACCAACTACCTTCTCCAGGTGGAAAGGGAGCTTCCAGGCCTGAGCTCTGTGGGCTGCACCCAGGCTCTAGGCACTTTGTGTGCCAAGGTGTTTGGGACATAGGGAGCAGCAAGTTTCAGATGGTCCCACATCTTCTGCTGGGACCTGGGCACATACACTGTAAAAATGCACCCTAGAAGTGCATCAAAAGCAGGCTTCCCCCCTGAAAAAAATCCCTTGGCTGAGGTTTCCATGAAAGGAAAGAACCCTCCTGTCCTCTCAATCTCTCCTCACCTACTGCAGCCCGGGCTTCCCGGGAACCAGGAGGTGGTCAGCTGGGCCATCCCACTCCCATCCTTTCCATTCGCAGATGAGGCTACATATATGGACATCTTTTGTGAGGCAGAGCTCTCTCCCAGGCAACCTAGGATTGGCATCCATGGAATTCCAGGTTTCAGTGGATTTATGAGACATGCAAATATTATTCAGAGACATTCTCTTATTCCCACAGTACCACCAAGAGGGCCCAGCCCCTTCCTGACAGGCAGGGGAGAAAGACCACTCCCTTGCTAGTTGCCACTTGGCAATCCCCCATTTGGATACACCTTGGTTTTAAGTTTGTACACGAATACTGAGATCTGCAGTCTTTGGTATTTATGTGAGATTCTATTCAATACCCTTAAACGAAAGAATGCAATAAGTCGCTGCTCACCTACCCTGAGAATGAGGGTTTCCAGTTTGGGGACTTTTGTTGGGAGGTAAAACTTCAGAAAAAAATGGAGGAATATTGAAGAATTGCAAATATTTAGTTTTGCCAAATTGGGACAGTAAATATAAGAAAAATAATAAGCTATCATTTACCAGTCCATCTGTTTCCTTAAAATCAACTTTTTTTTTTGAGATGGAGTTTTGAGTGCAGTGGTGCGATCTTGGCTCACTACAACCTCCACCTCCTGGATTCAAGCAATTCTTCTGCCTCAGCCTCCCCAGTAGCTGGCGACTACAGGAACGCACCACCACGCCAGGCTAATTTTTGTATTTTTAGTAGAGACAAGGTTTCACCATGTTGACTAGGCTGGTCTTGAACTCTTGACATTAAGTGATCCACCTGCCTTGGCCTCCCAAAGTACTGGGATTACAGGTGTGAGCCACTGCGCCCAGCCAAAAAGAAACATTTTAACACCAAAATGGATCATTTAAACCCTTCTCTTCCCCACCTTACTCTGGACAAAGAATTGGAAACTATGATTCTAATCCACTGAGGTCTATTAAGGAGAAATTTCTAAATTCATCCAGGAAGTGGGTGGGGGAGGGGCGTGTGGGGGGAAAGAAAACAGAAACAGAGAAGGTGGAAAGCGCCTAAGACATTCAGGGGGCTGTGATGTGCTTTGGGGGAGTCTTCCCAGGAGCAGGGAAGAGCTCTCCAACAGTATCACTTCAAGGTGTGACAGGCAGGCACCCGGAGCTGACAGCTGGGATAGCACCTCGCACAGCTGGATATGAGTGCCAAGGCCCTGAGTCTGACGCAAAAGCAGCAGATCTGCCCATCTGCAATGACACGTGGGCTGGAACAGAAAGAGATAAAACCAGGGGCCCTTTCCTTATTGTCTTTCTTTCTTGCCTTTTGCGATTGACTAGTTCTATTTTTGTTTCCTTTTTTTTTTTTTTTTTTTTTGAGACAGATTTTTGCTCTGTCTCCAGTCTGGAGTGCAGTGGTGCAATCTCGGCTCACTGCAACCTCCGCTTCTTGGGGTTTAAACAATTCTCTGCCTCAGCCTCCCAAGTAGCTGAGATTACAGGCACCTGCCACCACACCTGGCTAATTTTTGTATTTTCAGTAGAGATGGGGTTTCACCATCTTGGCCAGGCTGGTCTTGAACTCCTGACTGCATAATACACCTCGCTCAGCCTCCCTAAGTGCTGGGATTACAGGCGTGAGCCATTGCACCCATCCTACTTTTGTTTTCTTATGCCATTCTTTCTCCTTCTACATTATGGAGGTCATGATCCTCTATTTTGAATCTTGAACTTTGTATTATACATAGATTTTTCAACGAAGACTACAGTTAATATTTTCCCATTCCTTAATTTTTCCTCAAATAATACAGGATCCCCAAACCCTTTAACTCCCATCACCCCCTCCTTCTTGTACACCATTTTCTTCCAGTTTTTAGTTCTGTCCTTTCTTTTTTCCAACAAACTGGACTTCATGGTTAATTCCTATTTTTAATAGCTCTATTAAGGTATAACTGAGGCTGGGTGTGTTGGCTCATGCCTGTAATCCCAGCACTTTGTGGCTGAGGCAGGTAGATCACCTGAGGTCAGGAGTTCAAGACCAGCCTGGCTAATGTGGTGAAACCTCATCTCTACTAAAAATACAAAATTAGCCGGGCATGGTGGCACATGCCTGTAATCCCAGCTACTCAGGGTGCTGAGGCAGGAGAACTGGGAGGCAGAGGTTGCAGTG